ACTTTCTAACAAATCTTGCTCAGACTAGTTCTAATCTACTATTACTTTCAATATATACTTGCCTTCCCACAATTTGCCACCCCTGCAAGCTCAAAGTCCTTTTCCTTTGTCTTGTCACTTCTCAAAAAATGTATTTTTCTTTTGTTAAGATGCTATATCAGCCCAAGTTCTCACCATTTCCTTTGACTTTAGTCATCATGGAACATGCCTCTGTGTACATGCAAATACATGATAATAAGCTTCTGCTGGTTCTTCTCTAGTCACTCTGACTTGTTAGTCCACTTTATAGGGCCCCATCAGGAGAACCTAGCATAATTTGAAGAAAAAATTTTTCTTCTCCTTTGTATCTACATAGCTTACTCTATAGTTTGAGGTGTTTGAGTCATAGTTTGAGGTATAGTTAGAGGTGACATAAAACCTCTATACAGAACAGAGGGAGTTCTAGAAAGTATGTAATTCCCCCTCCCTTTATAGATGAAAAACGTAGCCCCACAAAGCTTTGAGTAATTTTGCCTTAAATTAAGTCTAACTGTTGAGGATAGATTTGGTCCAGGGTCCTGGGCCTTTTCTATAGGAGGGGCCAATAATTGGAGACCAAGTGAATTAAAAAAAAAAAAAAAAAACAAACAACAAAAAAGTGAAAGTCATGCAAGTTTAACTATTTCTCAAGAGTTTGGGCTCTTTGTTTTAAAAAGCGACAATGCACCACCCTCCCCATCACCCACAGACAATGGAATTTAGTATTGAATGTTTTCCACTGGGAAAATGCCCCAAAGAAGAGAAGGAGGCTGTGCCCACTGCATAGCAGAGGTGGGATGTGGATGCAGTTTTACTCTTGGAAGCCTAAGTGGTGACAAGACCTCTGCATTAGCAAATGCACATGGTTGAGAACAATTTTATGTTATCTCCTGAGCAACTTCACCTCTGAGGAGGTGACCATGCCCCTCATTCCTCATACAACCACAGCTTTTTCTCCTTAACTGCTTCCACGGATTTCTCTCCCTCTGTTATTTATTAAAATGTGCAACACAAGAAGAAAAGGAAAAGATTATCCTGCTTCCTGCCATGCAAGACAGTATGCAGAAGGCCAAGGTTAAATGCAGCATTTGGTTTCTTAAGCTTCTCTAATGTATAGGTGTGGAAAAAGCAATCTGAGACTAGAATTTATAGTGGTGACTCTCTGAGGATAAAAACTTGACTTTAATTTGGACTCTCTGGCTAAGATAAAATCTGCTTCTGCTATCATTATCCCACTTATGTTTGTCCTCACAGTCTCCATTTTGCCACCCAGCTGAGTGGGAAGAAATTAACCTGACCTTGAAAAATACTTGGGTTTTCAATAGCCAGTAAAATTCTAAAGGCCTCCCAAAATTTAGATCATGGACTCAGACCTGAAAATGATCTTTAAAAACCATATAGGCCACACATTTAACAGAGGAGGGAAATGAAGTCCAGAGAATGGACATGACTGGTTCAAAGTTGGAGCTAGTTGGAGGCAGGGTCAGAGCTAGTATGAGACTTCAAGCCCTCAAGCTCCCTTTCCCCATGGCACCAAGGCTAGACTCAATCCCCAACTGATTTCAGATTGTTCCTGAAGGAACATCACACCTTCACACAGTATTTGGAATTCCTCTTGTACAAATTAAAATCTCCCAAGGAATATTTTCAAGAAAAGTTATCTCAAATGTTAGAGGAAGGAAGGATTTATTTTGCCATTATTATACTTGTGGGTTTTTATCTATATCAAAATTAAGTATTGAAATTAAAATTGTACTTTGTTTTTTCTACTCAAGAATTATTAGACCATATCTGCCCCCCCCCCTTTATGTTTCTTACCTATACACTGTATTTCTAGTTTTAGATTTCAGCACAGCATATGGTAATTTAGTTCATGGATGTATTCTGTTTTCAAAATTTGATATTGGGTTTTATACCCAGACTTACTTTACTTATTTGTATCGACTGCCTAACACCAGAAGACCTTAGCACTTACATTCCCTGTTTGGAACTTGTCTCCTCATCCCTTTCAGGAATGAAGTTCTAGGAGGGTGGGTCTTGTATTTCAATGCAAAATCTGAAGACTGACCTCCAGGGGTCAGTGTCTGGCACCCACACAGGACCACCAGCTCTTAAAATCCTGACTGATCAAAACTAGCAAATGAGGCTATTCACTTTTTTTGGACTTCTCTGAATAGACAATACTTAAGACTCATATCTGTCTTGAAACAAACTGGTTTTATAAATGCAACCCTTTTCATGGAATTGAGTAAATGTATGGAAAAATTATATTGTAATTTTAAAGAAATGCCTGACAAGAACTATTTGGAGAATTTTAGTCTAGAATGTTACTCTCTGCCAGGGTTAGGAATTTTTTTTTGTCTTGAGAAATTACCTCGCTCAAATATACTTACACAAGCTACTTTCACTTATTTTTTTTTCTGAAGATATTACAGTGTCTGTACAATTTTAGAAACAGTTGTTATCCTTCAAATTTTTTTTTAACAAGAAAATCTTCTGAATTACTGATTTTCCCTGATAATGAGTGGCACTATTAGATACTAGTTCTAGATTTATATCTCTAGGACAGATTTTGAACAATGTGAAAAAGATAAAACCCAATAAAAATAAAAATAAATAATTATAAAATAGAATGTAAGCTATCATATATGAATTAAGTTGATCTTAATAATCTTCAAAAACACTTTATTATCACTTATAAATATCATTGCATTTGAGAGTTAAGTATATTTGTAGTTCCTTTTAAGTAGTTTTCTTTTTAAAAAGTTCAAACATTCCATGTTCCAAAAATTCAAAGACCCTTTAGTTAGTGTAGAAGAAAAAAACAATATTTCAAAACCATGGAATTGTACATTTCCTTTATACATTTCTATAGTAAAGGCAAAAAATAATCCCTTTTATCCTTACTGACATAGCTTGGCTCAAAATTATTTCTATATCCACTCAGTAATATTTTTAAAAGTTTCACAAAATCACTTCTTTGGTAGTCATCCATTAGAGCCACAGTAAAAATGAGGGTATTATCTTACCAATGCGTTAAATTTTGTAAGTTAAAATTCCAACAGTGAAAAATTAGAATATTCTCTCAGGGACATAAAGAAAGAAATGTAAAAACAGAACAAGACCAAACAGAGATTTCCATGGGAAACCATTAGGAGCACTTTCAGAAATTCCCCTAAAACAACTTATTTCTGTGAAGCTGAAAGGTCACTTTATCTAAAGTCCTATCAACAGCCATTTAACTAGATGTCTACACTGGACTGTCACTGCCCAACAGAGATGAATAAGAATTTACGGTTATTAATAAGAATGCCAGAGAAGGCTGATATCCATAGGATTCAAAGCTCTCACATCACTGGAAGGAATGTCGGAATATTGGACAAGATGGGACAGAGCTAACTAATCTCACCCTCATCCCTCAGAGCAACACAGGTTTTTTCTTTTGGTAAGTTTTCCTAGTTTGAAGGTTCAGATAGAGAAGTGTCAGTTACACGGTATTAGGTACATTTAATTTAACTGGCCATAAAAAAAAAAAAAAAACATTAAATCTTTGGAATAATAGAGTTGTATTCCAAATGCTGAAAATATTAGGATTGCTGCAACCCTGCATTTTGTAAATTTGATTATACCTATTCTCTCCACAGATGTCAAAGGTACAGTGAAAACATTTAAAAGCCATGTTCTTTTCACGTCTATGCCAAAAGTGTTAGGTTTTTTCAGACTTTTAGGGTTTTTAAAAATATTATCTTCAAACCTGATTCAGGAAAATGTTCTTAGTAGCCATGGCCCAAGTGCCTGATAAAACACAATTACTCATCTTACCTAAGTTTTCATTTCCAGAAAGAATTTGAGCACCACTGAGAATCCAAGTTCATAGAAACAACATTACGGATCAACAAAGTTAGTTCTCTAACGCTACTCCAATCCACTCTACTGCCTATTACCAAACTATCATGACTTGGTATGTTTTGCTATTCAGGACCACCTGCCTGCTATTGTGGTCCTCAGGCAAGGGAGGGCTGCCTGCCCTCCCCAGTGAGGAGTGGGGGTGAGTTGGCATTTGAAATAAGTGCATAGGCTGCTCATTCTGCTAGACTTTGTTGTACTACAAATGTACTAAATCATCTGACATCTCACTGGGGAAACCTTATTATGTAAGTCAAAAACCGAACGATTAATTTCTGATATGTTGACATCACAGTCATTATGTTTTGAAGCTAATTTGTTTTAAAGGCATCTAAATTAAGAACGGTTTTCTGAACTTTGAAATTATATATTCCTGAATGCTCCAATCTATTCCTCCTCAGTGACAGTTGGTGAAAGAGGGGTTTTCATGATTAGCCTGAAATATCTATTTCGATGTCTCCAACCTCACAGTAGTAAGTAAATATGCAGAAGCTTTAATATTTTCTAAAGTTGCACGTTTAGAGCACTTGTTAGTCCATGGAGTAATGGTTGGAATCTGGGACATAAGACTGGGGCTAAATTTCGTTACCCTCCTAACCCCAGAGAGTCTTTAGAAAAATAGAAACAAAAGAGCACAAAGTACTTAAGGTAGACACTGTTGTATTCATAATATAGAGAAATAACCACCATGCCTCATGGACAGGAGATGCAGTTCTCCACGGGGCTACAAAACTGTGCTAGTAATAATTTTAATTGGATGCTATCTTTGCTGCCTTCAAAAAGTATCATAAAACGGAATTATTACAGGCTACAAGTGCACTTACAGTGCTGGCCTCTCACAGGAGGAAACAGATAACATTTATCCTTTGGAGGGCAACATCAATGGGCTTCTATTTGTTTCGTTTACATGCATCCCCTGTTGCCTGCTATTTGCTTCCCCTTCCCTAAGTCTAAGAGATCAATTTGAATTAGACGCTGCAGACCTGGAATCTAAGTTTTGCTGGCCCGCTGCCCTTGGGGATGGCACGACCCCCTCCATCCGCCCTGCGCGCCCTCGGGGCTGGGGGGGAGCATACCTGCAGAGGGTTGGGCGGAGTGAGCGGCGGCGGGAGGCCGTGTCCCGGAGACTGGCTGGGTTTCTGTGGGGGGCTTGCACTCTGCGGAGTTGGAGACAGTTGGTTCTGGTTCTGGGGGTTGGGGAGGGATGGAGGCTGCTGGGGCTGCTGCGACGGGGCGGCGGGCAGCTGCTGGGAGGCAGGTGGCGGCTGCTGGGGCGGGGCGGGCTGGGGCGGCGGCTGCTGGGGCTGCGGGGGCGCCTGCGGGGGCGCCTGCGGGTGCTGGGCGCCGGACGGCGGGGGCTGGGGCGGCGGCTGCTGCTGCTGGAGCTGCTGGAGCTGCTGGAGCTGCTGTAGTTGGGAGTTCAGGGATGAGGTAGCTGCAAGAAAGAGGGAAGCAGAGTTAAAACCAACAGGACAAAACACCTTGCTGAAACTTTGGTGCCTCGTTTTGGAGCGGTCTTTCCTTTAAAAAAGTTTGCCCTTTCACTCTGAAGCTCTCTGGTATTTCAGAGGGTTGGGGGGCACTGGGAGAAAGAATCACCCCATGAGGGAAAATTTTAAATTTGGGGAGGTCGGGAGTGTAACACGGGAGGGCCTGAGCAGCACCGACAAAGGGGGGTTACTAGGAATGGAGTCGATTTAAAGAACTTTCTTTCTCTCTTCCTTCCACGCTGCTTGGGAAATAAACGTATGCATTTGTGCTCAGATTTAGATTTCTGAAGTTCAACCACTTTAATTCTTTTCGTAAATGCTCAGCTGCAGTTAAAAACTGAAGACTGCTGTGTTAATCTTTTCATCATCAATGCCCTTAATGGTGTCATTTTTTCTGTACCTTTCAGAACTCTGCCAATTTGCATAGGGATGTGATTTTCAAGTTCCTAGAGTTTCAAAATTAGAACGCATTTCTCAGTTTTGCCGAGTCAAAAGCCCGAGTCTGACTTTTTTGGTCCACTTATCAAAAAGATGGATTGCCCCAAATTGGAAGGTCTGTAGTCGGGGAGTAATGAACTGTACACTCTCGTGACCAGGTACATCAAGGACTAGCCAGACACTGAGAGAGCGAAGTCAAATTTCTAGAATTTCTTGTTAGTTGAAAAGTAAAGATTGGTGGGAAAAGCTGTATCGACACTGAGCATACTAAATTTGTTCTCAGATGCCCATCTAGCACTGGACCGTTTCCGACAGTTTGGCCAAAAAATGGTTCAGAGAAAATCACTGTTACAACTACTTCAGGTACTGCTACAGTTACTTCACTTCCTCCTTGCCTGAATCTCGATCTAAAACTTTTCTTTTTTTTTTTTTTTTTAAATTAAGATTTATTTATTTATTTATACAAGCACTGGGTACAGTCAGAATCATGAGAGGGTGAGAGAATTCACCAGAGCCAGAGCGGGGAGCAGAGCAGGCAGATTGAAGTACACTGCTGAGGGGAGCAGCGGGCAGCAGGAGAGGTCTGCGCGCCATGCGGGACCCTCCTCTGGTGGCCGGGGAGCAGCCGGGGATCAAACCGGCGCTGCAGAGGCTGCGGGCAGCTTCTCAACCCAGCGCTCTACCGCTGCGCCCCCGGGGAGGCCCTCGATCTAAAACTTTTCTGAGGGGCCTCCCCTCCTGGCGCAGGCGGTTGAGCGCCGCACTGTGAAGCTGTCAGCAGCGTCTGCAGCGCTGGTTCGACCCCCGCAGGAGGGCGAGAATCCCATATGGCGCAGCAGACCTCTCCTGCCGCGCCTGCTGCTCCCCCTCAGCAGTGTGTTTCCTCAGTCTGCCTTTTCTGTTCCCCACTCTGTCTCTGGTGATTCCTCTCACCCTCCCGCGCATCTGGCCTGCACCCCGGTTCTTGTATAAATAAATCAATCTTAAAAAAGAAAATCTTTTTTTAAAAAAAGTTTTCTGACAAGCTTAAAATAAATACAAGGATCAAGGTTGAACTCATAGGCGTTGGCTGCAATGTTTTTCTGTTCCACTCCCACCAAGATTAGTTAAGAATTAATAAAGACTTCTACAGGCACTAAATCCTGATTGCATCATTAAACTAGTCCTTATTTTTAAAATGCTCCTTGTTCCCAATCTAGTGATTCTTTAAAGTGACATACCATATACCTGCTTTCATGTAGCAAAAATGTACTTGAAAAATAGGAACTGTATTTTCTCTAGAACATCTAGAGAAATTTCTCTGTAAGGAAACCAACCTGTGATTAGTTTTGTAAAGTTAAGGCTCATTTTGTAAAACCCATTGAACAGCAGCTAGACACTAGGACAGTGTACTAGTACACTGTACAGTCAGGTCATTCATAGAATTTGAATATAAGACATACTCCTGCCTTCACGATGTTAACAGTCTAGTTGTGGAGATAAAATGAACTTATAAGAAATGATCAGGTTTGGGTTACCTGTTACAGAGTCCTGCCAAAGGTAGTTGCTTGATACATATTAGTTAATTGACTAAGTGGTCAACAGTGTGGAAACTGATCAGAAGAGCCAGGAGAATCAGGAGAGAGGTGTTCTGTGGCCTAGATAGGCCAAAGCAGAATTAATGGAGAGTATGGACAAGGAGCAGAGAGGGTTTAGGGAAGAATCAGGCTCATACCTCAAAAAAAAGGAAAAGATGATACTCCACACGGGAGAAACAGCCAGATGACAATATGGTTTAGGTGGTACTGCCAAAGGACAATGGGGAGCAAAGGGACTGCCTGGCACACAGGCCCCAGGAAGTTTTGAATGTGATAGATGGAGAGCTTATTTAATGGAAGTGATGGAAGGATGGCTCTCCAGTGAACTTCTGGTAGAAGTCAAATTTAAATATATAACTTTGTTTGAAGCAAGGCATGGTTGTACTGGTGAAATGTTAGCTTGACAGGCACCATATACCAGCTCTGTGTGAGCAGGCACCATGTAGGGCTTCCATGTTGGACCAGTTGAAATAGCAAATCCTCCTTGGCTCATTGAATTTCTCTTGGTCTACTCAGACTCTCATTCCAGTATGTCTTGCCTTGCATGTAATCCAGAGTGCACTGGGACTCCAGAGGTAGAGATCATATGTGTGTGTGTGTGCATGTGCATGTGTGTGTGTGTGTGTGTTTATAGATAAAGTATAGGTAAAGGCTGGAAAATATCCATCCAATGGGAACTCTCTGAACTTTCTGCTGAATTTTGCTGTAAATCTAAAACTGCTGTAAAAAGTAAAGTCTGTATTAAAACAACAACAACAACAACAAACACCCAGTCATCATCCTTTTTGTCAGAACTTTTAAGTGTAATTTTTTTTTAAGATTTATTTATTTATGCACACAAGAGCTGGGGTACAGGCCAGAGATGCAGGGGGTGAGAGGATTCACCAGAGACAGAGTGGGAAACAGAACAGGCAGACTGAAGTATACTGCTGAGGGCAGCAGCGGGCGAGCCAGGAGAGGTCTGCTGTGCCATGTGGGCTGCTCCCTGGCTGGCCGGGGATCGAACTCGCGCTGCAGAGGCTGTGGACCGCCCCACAGTGCAGTGCTCAACCCCCTGTGCCACCAGGGAGGCCCAAAGTTTTGGTTTTGACATCATCCTTCCCCTCCCACCCACCTCACTCCTGTTACACAAAATCACATTTTTTACTGAAGAGCTGGGAGTCCAGCTCTGTTCTGACCTCCAGGATCTTTTGTGGCCTGGGGGGGGGGGGCGGGTCTTGGGTAGTGGGACTTGATCCTCCTTTTAGTGAAATCACAGACATTGGAAACCTGATTACATCTGGCTACCTGCCCGATTCAAATCAAGCCTGTCCTGATTTCTTCAGGTGGGAGGCACATATGTCAGTGCTTATTTTCATGGTTGACTTAATACCATACCGTTTCATTTTGGTTAGAAAAGCATTTATCTAAATCAGCATTTAGAAACAGGAAAGACAGGGGAATATTGGCAGATAGATATTGGCAGATGGGTAGATGCAGCAGACCCTAACCTACTAATGAGACATGGTCCCAAATGTGTCTTTGTTCCTTGAAGTTAGTGAGTTCGTATTGGTTGACTATTTCTTTCCCACATATGCAGTTTTCTTGGAAAGGCATAAACATAAGCAAAACCTTCTCAAGTTACATAAATCTAGTTTGGTATCTGCAAGGAAAAAAAAAAAAGATGGTTCATAAGACATGTTCAGGTATGTACCAGATGCAAGGAGAAGCACATGAGGAGAATAATGTGACTCTGGCCTACAAAATGCCAAAGGTGCTTGTACAGTAATTTGAAAACAAAAGTAAAAAATTGCCAAAATATGGAGTCTTTATATGGGTCATTGTGTAAAGCATCCTGAGATATGAATACAAGTTAGGAAGGTTCAAAGACATATTTGAACTACAGAGAATGTTTGTGGATGAAATGATGATTGTTGGGGGTAAAACTCTCACCCTATTCATGGAAGATTAAAGATTTCACTTTTGTCCTTGGTATTTATATCCTTTTATGATTGTTTCCTCACTCTCCAGTTATTATACACTATATAGGCCAATGTTAAATATAACATTTAACTACAATAACAGTAGCTATGAAAGAAAAGAAATTCACAGACATTTAATTAGGCCATTTGGAACAATTCTGAAAAAGATACACAAAACAAAATTCCATCAAACTTTGAATTTCCTAGACAATTCAGACTTTAAATTTCCAGGGTCGCAAAAACCCATGGCTTAAAAGTTCCCCAATAAATAACTTACTATGATGGAGAAGTAGCCAAGAATCCTGAATTTCTCCAATTATTCAGTTTCTGTATCTCAACTGTAAATTAGAAAATTCTTATTTTGAATCTTTAAGATTTCTTCAGGAAATCACACACATAAACACTCCTAGAGGTATCAAGACTCTATTGGATGGGATTTATATAAAATTACTTCCAAGACAGGGAAATGGAAAGTAAAATCAGCCTATGTACCCACATATAAAGAGCAAGTCCATGAAAGATTGACTCTAGAGGAGTACAAATATGTCTTAAACTTTGCTTTCACAGAAAGCAAACTACATGCAAATGCTAAAGGAAATGGGATTCTTAGCCACACCCTCACCTTTGTTACAGCAAAGTATAACATCATATTACTGTCTGACTGCCGTTGGGATCTCAAAACGTTAGCATTTTCTTGGACTATTCAGGTTCAGGCATATGTGGGCATGGCTGACATACTGGTGGTTTGGATTTGAGAGTTTGCTGGAAAGGGACATAATTTATTATTCACTGCCGGTGTTTATACTCCACTGGGCACATACAGGACTTCACAGTGATATTTCCAGAGCAGGGAGAGACCATGCATGCTAAGGAAAAAAGGAAGCAGGTGGAGGTTATCATTGAAAGTGACCAGGAATCCTGAAAAGAGACTGAAGGTAATGGCTTTCAGACCCGCCATTATTAGCCCTG